ATGGGGGGGTACTGTTGGAGAGGAAGGTCGCAGCTGGGGGCACTGTCAGGGAAGCTCACAGTCGGGGTGGGGAAGGTCACAGCATGGGGGCACTGTTGGAGAAGGAAGCTCACAGTGGGGGGCACTGTCAGGGAAGCTCGCAGTGGGGGTGGGGAAGGTCGCAGCGTGGGGGCACTGTTGGAGGAGGAAGCTCGTAGCCTGGGGGCACTGTCAGGGAAGCTCGCAGCAGGGGACACTGTTGGAGGAGGAAGCTCGCAGCGTGGGGGCACTGTCAGGGAAGCTCACAGCGGGGGCACTGTTGGAGGAGGAAGGGCGCAGCCTGGGGGCACTGTCAGGGAAGCTTGCAGCGGGGGGCACTGTTGGAGGAGGAAGGGCGCAGCCTGGGGGCACTGTCAGGGAAGCTCGCAACGGGGGTGGGGGGAAGCTCGCAACACTTATCTCCCCAGTCACGCTGCTGGCTCCCCTCCAGGGACCTTGGACCCGGGCCACGGCCCAGCCCCCCCGCCAAGTTAAAGTCTCTGCCCCTCCCGGCTCTTCCTCTTTCTGCGAGGGGACAGACGGGAACGTGCCGGGAGCGGTGAGTGTCCGTGCGGAGCCCGGGGGCCTGGCCTCCCTCCCCGCCCCCCCAACCACTAGCCCCCACTCCCCTCCCAGAGCTGGGGTGAGAACCCAGGAGTCCTGGCTCCCTGCCCCCCCCTGCTCCAACCACTAGCCCCCACTCCCCTCCCAGAGCCGGGGAGAGAACCCAGGAATCCTGGCTCCCTGCCCCCCATCCTGCTCTAATCACTAACCCTCACTCCCCTCCCAGAGCCGGGGAGAGAACCCAGGAGTCCTGACTCCCAGCCACCCCATCCTGCTCTAATCACTAGCCCCCACTCCTCTCCCAGAGCCAGGGAGAAAACCCAGGAATCCTGGCTCCCAGCCCCCAACCCGCTCTAATGCACTAGACCCCCCCGCCCTTTTCCCTCTCCCCTATCTCCCTGTCTGATGAGATCAGCACACCCTAGAGGGGAAAGCCTCATGTCCCACCCTGTGCCCCGCACCTAACCCCGTCTCTCCCCTCCGCAGCCATGGCGCCCGCCCCCCACTACGCTCCGGCACCGCCGCAGGAGCCTGTGTCCCCCCCGGACGCCCCCGTCAAGCTGCAGCGGGAGATCTCGCTGCTCAGCGGCATCTGCCTCATCGTGGGCAACATGATCGGGTCGGGCATCTTCGTGTCGCCCAAGGGCGTCCTGCTGCACAGCGCCTCCTACGGGCTAGCGCTGGCAGTGTGGGCCGTGGGCGGCCTCTTCTCCGTCTTCGGGGCGCTGTGCTACGCCGAGCTGGGCACCACCGTCACCAAGTCGGGGGCCAGCTACGCCTACATCCTGGAGGCCTTCGGGGGGCTGGCGGCCTTCGTCCGCCTCTGGGCCTCCCTCCTCATCATCGAGCCCACCAGCCAGGCCGTCATCGCCCTCACCTTCGCCAGCTACATGGTGCAGCCCGTCTTCCCCAGCTGTCCGGGGCCCTACGCCGCCCACCGCCTGCTGGCCGCTGTCTGCATCTGTGAGGGGGCAGGGCACCGGCAGGGCGGGGGGCTGCGGGTTGGGAGTGAGGGGCACTGGCAGGGCAGGGCGGGCAGGGGGCTGCGGGTCGGGAGTGAGGGGCACCTCTTGTCTTCTCTCCCATCCCGCTCTGGCTGTTCCTTGCCCTTTGGCCCAGGCTCTGTCCACGGCCCCCCCACTCCCTGTAGGAAACCCCCCCTGGCCGAGCAGGATCCCCGGCGTCCTGGCTCCCAGCCGGGAGGCCGAGGGATGCTGGGGGTTGGCGTGTGGGTGACCCCGGCACAGGGCCGGGGGATGTGGGCTGGGCTCAGCTGATGGCACCGGTGCTGAGTCGGCGATTCACAGCCAGAGCCAGCTGCCGGAAACGCCGAGTCAGCCCCCCACATTGCGCCATTGCCTCACGTGGGCCAGCATGGGGGGGCTGGGCTAGCAGGGGCTGCGGGCTGGGAGTGAGGGACACCGGCAGGGTGGGGTGGGGTGTCAGGGCTGGCTAGCAGGGGCTCCGGGTTGGGAGTGAGGGACACTGGCAGGGCTGGGCTAGCAGGGGCTGCGTGCCGGGAGTGAGGGGCACCGGCAGGGGCGGGGGGGGGGGGGGTAGCAGGGCTGGAGGGGCACCGGGTCGGGAGGGTTAATGCCCAGTTGTGTCTGGGCCCAGCTGTGATAAGGGCAGGAATTCCTGGCCTTGTTTAGGATCCCGGCGTGTCCCTTGGGGACGTCCCCGGCTGCCCCTGGCTCTCAGCCCGGCCCCACGGCCCAGCGCCAGGATCCGAGTGGGGGGAGATGCCAGGAGCCCCCGCACCTGGGGCCGGGTCCAGCCCGTGTTTATGAGTCTCCCAGTCACAACATGCCTGGGGAAAGATCAAGGTTAACGGGAAGCAGCGGAAAACAACAGGGAGGGGTCTGGGGCCCAGCGCCAGGAAGAGAACTCAGGAGCCCTGGCTCCCAGCGGCTCCTGCTCTGACCCACCAGCCCCCACCAGACCCTCCGCCCCAGAGCTGGGGAGAGAACCCAGGAGTCCTGGTTCCCAGCCCCCTGCTCTAACCCACTAGCCCCCACTCCTCTCCGGGAGACAGGAAAGAACCCAGGTGTTTGGGAAGCGCAGGGGGTCTCACACTCTCTTCTCCCCCCAGGTCTCTTGACATTTGTGAATTGCGCCTACGTGAAATGGGGGACGCGCGTCCAGGACGTCTCCACCTACGCCAAACTGCTGGCGCTGCTGGCCGTCATCATCGCTGGCATCGTCCGCCTGGCGCAGGGTAGGGAAGCTGGTGCCCCTCACTCCCGCCCTGCAACCCCCTGCCAGCCCAGCCCTGCCCCCCCAGCTCTGCCGGTGCCCCTCACTCCCGCCCTGCAACCCCCTGCCAGCCCAGCCCTGCTCTGCCCCCCCAGCTCTGCCGGTGCCCCTCACTCCCACCCTGCAACCCCCTGCTCTGCCCCCCCAGCTCTGCCGGTGCCCCTCACTCCCGCCCTGCAACCCCCTGCCAGCCCAGCCCTGCTCTGCCCCCCCAGCTCTGCCGGTGCCCCTCACTCCCGCCCTGCAACCCCCTGCCAGCCCAGCCCTGCTCTGCCCCCCCAG